CTCCGAGGGGCCGAGGGAGCGCCGCGCGGCCCCGAGCCCCCTCCCTCCAGCCCGGCTACTCAGTTTTCCCCCTTCAAAGTTAGCCAAGCGCGACTGGCCGCAGCGGCTCAGGGCTGCGGGTCGAGCGACTCTTGCGCCGCCCAGACGGCGACACGCGGCAGAGTCCGGACAGTACTTGGGGCGCAGACGCAAAAAGCGGTGGGGGCGCAGCCTCTCAGGCACTGCCCCACCGGCCGCAGCGCACAGGCACTGGGGCAGGCGAGCGTGTGTTCGGTGCACCTGGCATGCGCAAGGACCTCCCCCCAGCGCTCTCCGCTCACTGCAGAGAGAGCTCCGGCCTGGAACGCGCCCTCCGGGCTCCGGGGGAGCCACACTGGCCTCTTCGAGGCCCACTGGGGAGAAACAGGGGGTGGTCGCAGGCAGAAGTCCGAGTTCCTGGCAAGGGCGGTGGGCGCCAGCAGATCTGGCTGAGCTGGATGGCGGTCCCAGGGCCGGCAGAGAAAGGGGGAAGGGGGAGATGGGAGAGCGCTCTCCCCCGCGCTGGGTTGGCGTCTGAGGGCTTGGGTGGCACTTTTGTCCAGGATCCGAGGTGGGCGCAGAGTCCTCCCCCCCCCCGCCCACAAAGCAGTTGAGGGGCCCCGGGCGTTTGCGTCTCAGAAATCAAAGTTACCAACGCAGCCCAGGCCTCCGCGTCAAGTTTATGAAAACCAGGAGATGGCAATTTGTCCAAGAAAATCAAAGTCCTGCTCTTCCCAATTTCCCCGAGGGGGAGGGGGGAGGGGATCGGGAAGACAGGGAGGGGAAGCAACCACAGTACCGGCCAGGAGAGGCGGGGCCGCCGCCGCGGGTACCCGGGGCTTCTCCTCCTCCCAGCGTTTGTTCTGGGGTGTTGCTCCGAGGACCACCGCCGCTGCGGAGCCTTCTTAGTTCAGTCGCATGTCGCTGGGGTCCGCCTCAGCAGCTGCAAAGGTCGACGGTTTTTGTCGCCTCCAAAGTTTACTTGCGGGAGCGTTTGGATTCCATCCTCCGGGAGAAGCCCTGCCTAGGGCTTCCTCCCTCCCCGGCGCCCGTGCGCCAGGAAGCTCTGTCTCTGTGTCAGGCTGTTTGTGGATGTGCGAAAGAGAGGAAGAGTGAGTGTGTGGATGGGAAGTGTGAGTGTGGAGTATGAGCGAGCAGGGTTTGGGGTGGGAGGTTTCGGATCTCAGATGAATCCGCTCAACTGGAATGCCGCGGAGGACAAGGCGCCAGGGGCCCGCGTGGGGCTAGAGAAGTGGATGCCAGTGCCCCCTGGGCAAGCCAGACATGGTGCGCGGGAGCTGGTACAGCCGTCTGCGCCGGCTCGTCTCCCCTCTGCGCCAGCCGCCGCCGCTACTGCTGCTGCTGCTCCTCCCGGTGCCGCAAACTACTGGCCGTAGAGTCTGGAGAGAGCTGGAGAGAGCCGGAGCTGCGGAGCCGGCTACGCCAGGCGATAGCCAATCAGCGTACGGCTCAGCGGGCTCCGGTCCTGGGGCGGGGCCAAGGC